GCGGACAGGGTACTACGGCGACGCAGCTGAGTCAATTATCTTCAAGCCCTCCCCGCTGTTTTCTTTTATTCTCTATCCCAACTTACACCTTCTGTTATTGTTTTTTCCAACAGCCTCTACTGACGAAGGAGCTAAGCGATGGACTAAAGTATTCACTTCTGGATACATTAGGTTTTTACATTCAGTGTCGTTTGGAAGCAGCCAGTGCCGCTATGATAAGTCCTCCAACAACTGCAACTCCTCCTCCCAAAATTGCCATACCTAATAATCCATCTGAAATAATTCTTTTCACCATTTCAAGGAAAATATATTGAAAAACCAACTATCGAGTATATAAAAATGCATACAAGGGGAATGACGAGGTAGAATTAATAAAACTAAGTTGAAATTACCATTGCGCATTCGCCTCTGTATCAATTCTTTAAGTTCTATAGCCTGTCGATTGGATGACTCAGCGCTTAAAAGGACCTCTATGTAAGCTAGCGCACGGTCATATTCCTAGAAAAATCCTCAGAAAAGAAAAACTGCTGTGGGTTTATGCAAAGTGGCTGACATCGTTCAAGCATTTTTTGAAACTCACTTTCAAATGCAACTTAATAAACGAAGCGAAAACTGAAAAAACTTTAACATGAAAATACCCTCACCAATATCCTTTCGGGTAAAAGCTGTAAAAATAACTAAAACGCTACATTGTGAAATAGACAGTCAGCAGAACCGAGTACCTAGATTGCTTAGTTCAAGGTCAAAAAAGTAGAAGGCAAATAAATAATGTTTTTCTCCTCATACGCAGTTTACCTTCAAACGAGTATGAGCTACAGCCAGATAATACACGTAATCACGTTTGGCAATGTCTTCGGTATCTTTATGAAGAAGACCTGTAATTTTTTTAGACCTGTAAAGTTTTCTACTGTACGGCTACCACCCAATCCGAAATAATACCTTGAGCTTACAAGAGGCACTATAATGGCCAAAAAAAGAAGGCGATAAAAAGACTACATACGACGTATTGTGAGCGATAAAATGCAGGTTACGAAGAATATTAACTGCAAAAACCTTCTAAAAGATTTATTCCCTTTCTGACATCGGATTTCGATGATTTGATTAAGCCATGAGCGTAGGAGAACGTTGCAACTGCGCTTGGAGGACCACGACTAGCTTGTTCTTTATAATTTTTTTCTAATTTCTGGAATATCGGAATTTAACACTTCAGTAATGTCACGCATGGACCAATTAATTTTGGACGAGCAGTGAAATAAAAATCAAAAAAAAAAAAAAAAAAAAAAAAAAAAAAAA